CACCTCAGCTACACATCAGGAAATGTTGCCTCAGTTCCGTACCAGTAAAAATCACCTCATCTCCACACCAGTAAATTTCATCCCAGCTACACACCAGTAAATATCACCTCAGCTACGAACCAGCAAATATCACCTCAACTACACACCAGTAACTACCACCTCAGTTTTCAATCAGTAACTGAATATCTAAAGCAAGAAAAACGCCTAATTTAACGCAGCTGGTCGCATGTGGAGAAAAGATGGCTGGGAAGAACTAACAATTACAGTTAGTCCATGTTCCACCACAACCTTTGCATCAATATGAAGAGGCTGGTTACCACAAAAGTGCGCACAACATGGAAGCACAAATAACACTTAAATATAATATACACACATATATACATACATGATACAAATGTACAGTTCAGGTAAATATACACAAGCATTGTAAAATAATTGCAGAAATATCATTTGCTTGCAACTGTGTGGTGTTGGTTGTACAGAGTTTGTTTACACATAAGAAGTGGTTTAATGGTTTGAACAAGGAATCAACATCATGGGACAAAGTACTCATTAGTGCTCCTTTTTACTTCTAGCTCGCCTGAGTCTGAAGAATCTCAGCACAGTGCACAAACTCCGTAGCACCGGCAAGGATCCTGAACTACTTTTGGGAGATTTTGTAACTCAAAATTGTTGTCTCATTACCCAGAGACAAGCAAAAATTACTAGAAGTTCACTGGGGCCTGAACCCAGGACCTCCAGCACTCGAGGCTGACACTATGCCTCCAGACCACTCAGCCTCCCCAATAAGAAGTGGTATTGCAGCTATCAGAAAACCATAGCTAGAAACACTATCATCATTATCAGTCAGCAGGTTCTTTACTGTATGTACTTTCTTCACGGCATGCCAGAAAGTCTCTAGCCAATTCTCTAGCCAATGCATCATACATACCAGTTTCATAGCTAATGCATCTTCAATGTCTTGTATTCACCTTTATGGATGTTGGCCTCTGCTTCCTTTTAAGGAAACTGTCACCTCCATCACCATTTTTCCCCCCAGGCCACCATGATGTTTAACATAATGAAACATGCCTTAATTTTGGGGACAGGATGCTATTTATGAGCTGGTTATCCTCAATGTTTAGATGATGTAGAATGTCAGTGTTTCTCTTCTTCATTTATGATATTCTGTGAATATTTCTGTAACATTTCACTTCAGAAACAATGATTATTATTTTTTTTTTCAGTGATTGAGTAAGAGTCAAGGAAAGACACATGATACATGATCTCAAAATTGTTACTTTAACCCTTTAACCCAACGGTTCTTCATGCTGTGTAATCTCTGCATTGCTACAGCAAGTCTACAAATATTATCATCTGTCTCAATTATTTGCCGCTTGGTGTTATATTTTCTATCTGTTGTCTGATCTCTTCCATTTTAAGTACCAATTTTATGAAACAAAATACTGAGGCATACAATCAACTGACGTACACAGATTCCCTATAAGGATGCACACAATCTCCGTCAATTGATGCACTCAATATCCCTTAACTGACACACACAAATCTTCCTCCTTATGCATGAAACTTTCTCAACTGATGCACACATTCTCCCTTAACTAATGCATACAATCTCCCTCAAATTATGCATACAATATCCTCAACTGATGCATACAATCTCACTCAAATGACACACACACACAGTCTCCCTCAACTGATGCATAAATCTTAATCAACTGATCCCCAAATCTCCCTTACTAAATGCATACAATCACCCTTAAATGACACACACACACACAATCTCCCTCAAATGGTACATCAATCTCCCTCAACTGATGCACTAAACTCCCTCAATAGATGCACATAATCTTCAACAGATGCACACAATGTCTATTTAAAAAATATATTCATCTTTCCCCAGAAATGTGCCAGGAAGAATCTGAAATGACAAACTGGTAATTTGTTATTAGTAAAAATAAAGTAATGGACCAATTTACAACCGTGACTCATCATGCATATAATGTGAGACTTAATGGCTAGAGGCCAATTAATCCTCGATGGGTGATGTCATCAACATCTTGCTAACTGCCTTTACTTCCCAGAACATTACCTGCTACCTATTTCAAGGAAGCCAACCTGGAAGCCAAGATCATTTTAGAAGGGAAAAAAAAGTCAGATTCACTGCGGATTCAACCCCAAGATCTTCGGCACAGCAGGTGAAGCATTTAGCCACAACACCACCACAGCTCATCATGTGATTGTCATAAGTTTGATGTTGTAGGTTTGGTTAAACACTTCAATACCCATACTGTGATATAGAGAAGACACACCATCTAACATAAGATGCAGGAAAACCTCACATGCACCCTTTGCCAAAGTTTACAATAATGTAAAACAAAAATGATACACATAAAAACACATACAATCAGATCTCTCACACAGAACAGTGGTTCTGATATTAGATAAGGCTCGTGTGAACCTCTCTTATTTTCGAAGATCTCCCATGAACCTTATACTTTTTAATAATCATATTTTTTTAAAGCAAAAAGGAGTAAAGCTATATGAGAATCATACAAAAAGGGCTTAGGTTTTTGCATGAGGGGGGGGGGGGGGGGGTCCGTTTGTTTTTGTAAATGATATCAAGGACCCCTTAAATTTGTTCCGTGGACCCCCCAGCAGGTCCATGGACCAGTAATTAGGAACCACTGATACAGAATACATATTGAACATAGAAGAACACAATGGATCCTTGCTAATGAGGGCACCGGGTCATCTAGCCAGTTAAGCAGAACATCTAATAATTCTGCTAGTTTTAGGGTTAGAGAAAAAAAAAAAGAGTGTTAAAGTGCTACAGAGTAGTGTTCTTCAACTGGCAGGCCACAGCACACAAATGGGCCCCAGAAAAGTCCAGCTGGGCTGTCAACAAAATCTGCCTAATCATAAAACGATGTATGGCAGGTAGTTCTCTTCCAGGATTGCAGTATGGGGGATTAACACTTCTATTCTGAGAATCAAAAGATGTCGCCTCGGCTGAAAATGGTAATTACGTGACACCGGATTCAACAAATAAACTGCAGTATATATTTGTTTTTGTGTTTGGGAAACAATTTCTCCTGTTTGCGTGGGCTGCAGGTGTAGAAAGCTTGAGAAACATTGCTACAGAGAACCTGTGTTGTTATATGCCTGTGGGATATGGACAAAAAGATGACAAGCTGAAAAGTGTTGTTTTTTGTTTGCATTCACCGGCTGTAAACCTCGGAGGAAACACCTGGGCTGTAAACCTCGGAGAAAACTTTTGGGCTGTAAACACCGGAGGAAACACCTGGGCTGTAAACCTCGGAGGAAACACCTGGGCTGTAAACCCTGGAGGAAACACCTGGGCTGTAAACCCCGGAGGAAACACTTAGGCTGTAAACCTCTGAGAAAACACCTGGGCTGAAAACCTCGGAGGAAACACCTGGGCTGTAAACCTCTGAGAAAACACCTGGGCTGTAAACCTCGGAGGAAACACCTGGGCTGTAAACCTCAGAGGAAACACCTGGCTGTAAACCTCAGAGGAAACACCTGGCTGTTTCTCTAATTCTGGACTTTGGCTTTGTTCTATGACTGAGTTTTGTGTGTGCATCCGTTTTACAGATCTTGCTTATTTGAATGCAGACTGTTGGTTCCTTGCCTCTCAGGCAGATGTACTCCGACTCTGAAGGAAGCTCATTAATTAGTCGATTCTTAGGACATGCCTGTTGGGGAAGCAGTGGGTCTATTCTTGTTTTACACACAATGGGATCCCCGAACCCACATGGGGAGCTGAAAAACAACCAACATTTACTCGCAGCAGAGATGTGCTTTTTGAGAAGAATGCAAAGAATATCATGGAATGATGCACAAATAAACAAGGCAACCCTCCTTGAGACAAATGAATGTCATTGATTCGAAAAATGGAAATGTAAACAGTTAATGTTTTTCAGACGTTATCAGAAGGGATGGACTCAAGAACTAGGTGACAACTGGCAAGATTGATGGTAAGAGAGCAAGAAGAAGACAAAGAGATAAATACCTGGATGGTATGGCCATATGGGTGGGGGGGGGGGGGGGGTGTGAGACAAGAACACTGACTTCATCTGGGATCCTGGTGATTGTGTGAGAAGGCAAAATATTAAAGCCTACCCATACTGATATAGCACATGATGATAAGTAATCTGTCGAGCTAATTATGGCACTAGGTAATCTGTCCAGTTAATTAGGACAACATGTAATCTGGACAGTTGATTAGGTCAGGTGGTCTGTCAAGTTAATTAGGTCAGGAGGTGATCTGTCCAGTTAATCAGGCCACCAGGTAATATGTCCACTTAATTATGGCACTAGCTAATCTGTCCAGTTGATTAGGTCACCAGGTAATCTGGACAGTTAATTATGGCACTAGCTAATCTGTTAAGTTAATTAGGCTACCAGGTAATCTGTCCAGTTAATTAGGTCACCAGGTAATCTGTCCACTTAATTATGGCACTAGCTAATCTGTCCAGGTATTTAGGTCACCAGGTAATCTGGACAGTTAATTATGGCACTAGCTAATCTGTCAAGTTAATTAGGTCACCAGGTAATCTGGACAGTTGATTAAGCCACAAGGTAATCTGGACAGTTGATTAGGTCAGCAGGTAATCTGCCTAATTAATCAGGGCTATATTTTAAACACTGAAATAAAACTGCCTTTTTCTCTAATTTTGTATATGGGCCAACTTTTTGAAGAAGTAGATTATTGAAGTGTGTGGTATATCAAATTTGCCACAGCTGCCACCTGGTGGCCTACAGTTTGCACCTGTTAACTAACTACGAGTTGTAACATGCACAGCTTGCCAGTTTTTTTTTTTTTTTTTCATTATCTGAGAGACCAGATCACCCTGTGAAAAGCACCAATTAAAATATTACAGATTGAACATAGCTCACTGAACATAGCTGATGAGTGAACAAAAGCTTTCAAATAAAGAATGCAGTTACAAATGATACACATGACTGCTGAATGATGCTCAAAGTTCATCTTCAGAGTCTACTTCATCATCAGCATCATCTCCACTGCCACCAACCAATGCCTTTCTCTGCTCACAGTCCTCCGAGTGAGGCACCTGGAGCTCAGATTCATAGCCGACTAGAACCATTATTATGTAGACCACAGCACCTGCAGGTGATGAAAAAGAACAAGAAATACACTAATGATGAAACTCCTCTACTATATTTCATATGAGGACTGTAAAGAGCACTCTCACTGCATGCATAGATACCTCTTATTTTTCTTCCTCTTCTCCACATTCATCGGATGTAAACTCTGGCAGACAGTTCTGGTTGTTTGTCTACTTCTTGACTCTAGTCCGGTTCCATAACTTGAGTGCAGTGTGCACTTCCATTTCGTAGATCTGACTCAATTGTATGCAGACTGCTGGTTCCTTGCCATTCAGGCAGAAGCACCCTGACCTCAAAGGAAGCTCCCAATTAGTCGACTTCACATGCTTTTTGGGGAGGCTGCAGGTCTATTCTTGTTCTATTCTTGTTTTCCACACATTGGGCCCCAGAACACATATAGGGACGTAGATACCCCAAAAGTGATTTTGTTTTCTATCATAAATTATGACTGGATACCAAGTGACTACTACACAAACTGGACAAAGGAGAGATTCAGAAAACCATTTATTATGTTACTCTATATTATGTTATCACAATCAACGTCACTGCACATTAGGCAATCCCATGCCTGCTCAGTCCTCTGCTGCAGCAGCCACCCCACAGTATCTCTACTGACTGTTCCCATTAGAAGTTGGTAATAGTGTCTCCTGTCTTGGCCTCAAAAACAGCACTGATGTGCTTCACCAGGCTTCACTCCAAGCTCACACGATCGGGTTACTGTCGGAGATCCGTTACCATATGCCAGTCAAGTCCATATAGCATTGATGATATCTGCTCTGCCCGTGCATCCTCCCCGCATGTATGCCAGCTGGTCTGCTGGTTTATTACCTTTTACTTGGACACGCCCAGGTTTGTGGACTCGTCAACTTAGAGACTAACTGATGAGCACAAGGATGATGATGATGATGTTGACACTAGCTCACAGATTTAAAAGAACAGTGTGTAGACTCATGAACTCACTGATGAGTACAAGGATGATGATAACACTAGCTCACAGATAACAAACAGTGTGTAGACTCATGAACTCACTGATGAGTACAAGGATGATGATAACACTAGCTCACAGATAACAAACAGTGTGTAGACTCATGAACTCACTGATGAGTACAAGGATGATGATGACACTAGCTCACAGATAACAAACAGTGTCTAGACTCATGAACTCACTGATGAGTACAAGGATGATGATGACACTAGCTCACAGATAACAAACAGTGTGTAGACTCATGAACTCAATGATGAGTACAAGGATGATGATGACACTAGCTCACAGATAACAAACAGTGTGTAGACTCATAAAGTCACTGATGAGTACAAGGATGATGATGATGATGACACTAGCTCACAGATAACAAACAGTGTCTAGACTCATGAACTCACTGATGAGTACAAGGATGATGATGATGATGACACTAGCTCACAGATAACAAACAGTGTGTAGACCCATGAACTCACTGATGAGCACAAAGAGAATGATAATGATGATGTAGACTCATGAACTCACCAATGGACACAATGATGATGACCTCCATGAATCCCACCAGCTCCCCTCCTGACAGCAACAAAGCAGAACTTGACAAGATGGAGGCTGTTGGTACCAGAGGCATTAGTGGCGTCTGCAACATGAAACACAGACACTTAACAAAACATTACATGGGCTTTCAGGACAGCTCATGCAATCACACAGTTGGGCATTTTTTTTTTCTTGTTTTATTCAATTTTTCATCACATATTGATCAGTTTATCTATGTACAATGACACATATTTTTATTCTTGATTTATTAGATTTTGTAATGCTTACTGATCAATTACTCTCGACAAATTTAGACATCTTATTCTTGATTTATTAAATTGATTATCTCATACTAATCAATCACTTTCTAGATGTTTAAACTTCTTCTTATTCTTTATTTATTCAATTTATTATATTGCATAGTTGTTGTTGTTGTTATCGATCCAGCGGCGCATGAGCTTTCGCCCTTTGGCCCAATGCCATGTAGTGGAATTTGCATGTTTTCACAAGCTGTTCTTTTCCTCCGTACAAGGTGTTCCACTTGTCTGGTCTCGGAGGGAGTAGCGTTCTTCTTGTCTCACTGAGTTTTGGGCACTCAAAGAGATGGTGTTCAACAGTTTCGTAGGGGTAGTTACATAGCTGGCACTCTGGGGAGTGTTGTGGCTGTATTCTGTTTAGGTGTCCATTGAGTGGAGTATGTTGCGTTCTAAGTCTGAAGATGGTGGCCTGGTCCCTTCTTGTTAGATGGTTAATGCTGTCATTAGGATCAGGGCCAGACATATGTCTATAAACCTCTCTTCCAGTGTCTCCCATGGCCCATCTGTTCAACCAAGTCTCTTTGTTTATAGCTCTTATCAGTGTTTTTGCTGTCTGGAGGGTTGTCGCTGTAGGTGGTTGTTCTTGTGTTGCTCCTTTCTTTGCCAATCTGTCAGCTCTGTCATTACCTGGTGTGCCGGAGTGACCTGGAATCCACTGCATCACTATTCTGATGTTGTATGAGGTAATAAGCTGATCGGCATCCAGGATTATCTTGGCTATGTCAGTTCTGCAGCGTTCATTGCCCTCCAGAGCTTGAAGGGCAGACATTGAATCTGTGAAGATGACAATATTTTGGACCTTTGAGGGGTAAACATCCATTACAGTCTTTAGGTGGTATACTGCTGTTTCCAGTGCAATTATTTCAGCTTCATAGTTTGAACAGAATTCCCCGCATGCATCAAAAATCTCTTCAACAGATCCATCGGGATAACCTATGTAGATTCCGTAACCTGCTTTAATGGTAGCTTTAAATGCTGATCCATCAGTATAGACATGTATCCATTTTTGGGGGTAAGAATCAACGGTCTTTAGTGATGAGTTCATAAGAGCGATTGGGTCGGACTGTTTGGTTTCCTCGCCTACCAATTTAGTTTGGACTTCTGGAGCTTTAAAGCGAGCATGTGGTGGTAGGTTTTTTGCAACATTCTGAATTCCTTGACGTCTTTCTGGGAGGTGGTATCTGTCCTGAATTTCATTAACACAGTGTAAAACCGATTTGTGCTTTATTCTTTGTTTGGACTCCCAGTTTTCTACAAGATGTCTATTAGGATGGTTACGATTTTTCCTAACGCATCTTTCATAAATTTCTAAAGTGGCTTTTTCTCTCCGCAACCCGAGGGGTTCCACATTTGTATGGATTTCACATGCAGCAGTTGGTGTAGACTGCATAGCTCCGCAGATTAATCGGAGGGCATTATTTTGTACTCTGTCAAGAGTCTCTAGGTTAGTTTTGGAACAAGTTGTAAGCAGTGAGTTGTTGTACTCTATCACAGAGCGAACATATCCTAGGTATAAGCCCCTCAGAGTTTCCTTGTCTGATCCCCATGATGTACCTGCAAGTCTCTTTAATAACTGTAACCGCCTCAATGCCTTATTCCTGATGTTTTCAATATGGTTCTTGAGGCTGAGCTGCGGGCAAGTGTGACTCCAAGGTATATGGGATGCTCTTCTTTCATCACTTGGTGTTTGTCTAACCTCAGGTTAATATTCTTCCTTGCTACTTGGTGGCTTTTGGTAAAGATTGTGTAGACCGTCTTTGCACAGTTAATCTTGAGTTTCCATCTTTGGCAGTAATCATGCAGTCTTCTAAGGTCTCCATTCAGTCTTTGGGCTCCACTTTCCACATTTTCATGACTCTGCCATATTGCTAGGTCATCAGCGTACAAGGCTTTTTCGGCCTTGATTTGTTCTGGCAGGTCATTGATAAAGATTAGGAATAGTGTACAGCTCAATGATGAGCCTTGTGGCAAGCCCTCCTCCAAGACTTCTTTAGAAGAGATTGCGTTGTGCATCTTAGTCTGGATTGTTCTATCTATCAGGAAGTATTTCACCCAGTTATACAATCTGCCATGTATTCCTATGCTCATCATCTTCATCAGGAGACCTTTTCTCCATACTCTGTCATAGGCCTGCTGGAGGTCGACAAAGACTGCCACTGTGTGTTTCTTATTCTGGAAGCCATCATGTATTCTTTGTGTCAGTCTGAACAGCTGGTCTTCTGTGCAGCTGTTGGTTCTGAAGCCTGCCTGTTCATGGCATAGAACACCAGAACTCTCAAGGAACCAATATAAGCGCCTGTTTATCATTCTTTCTGCAACTTTGCCCAAGCATGATGTTAAGGATATCGGGCGGTAGCTTTTGGGGTCATCTGGAGGCTTTTTGGTTTTAAGGATGGGGACGATATATGCATTCCTCCATGCCCTTGGAAGTTTGCTTGACCTCCAAGTTTTATTAATAAGCCTGAGAACTACTTCTCTCCCAGACCAGCCAAGATGTAGCAGCATTTCGTTGTGGATCTTATCTGGGCCTGGAGATTTTCTAGGTTTTAATTTCTTCAGGGCTTGCTCTAATTCATCCATGCTAAATTCATTTTCAAAAAGGGAGTCGCTGGCTGTTGGAGCTCTCTCTTGTTTCTTCAACTGAGAGAGCTGTGTTCTATCGAGTTCTGACAGCTTACCTGCTCTGTTAACCGAGGCAAAATAATGATTGAAATGTTCTGCTTTCTTCTTGTCTTCAGTGATTGTCTTACTCCCATCTGTCACTGGTTTTGGGTTCACCCTTCTACTTTCTCCTGAGAGGTTTTTAACTAAAGTCCATGCTTTATTTCCATTCTGTCTAAGGTCTAAGTTGGAGCAAGTTTCTGTCCATTTATCTCTTTTAGCCTTATTAACTACAAGCTTTACTCTGGCACATGCTTTATTGTATTGGATCTTTGCTTCTGTTGAACGTGCAGTTTCGAGAAATATTCTTGCTTTATTCCTTTCAGATATAGTATTTTGAATTTCTTGATTCCAAAAAGGTTTATATGCCTTCCGGCTGCCCCTTGGGATGGCTTTCGACGCTGCATTCAGGATTGCTTGTGTTATGTCTTCACAAAAAGTTTCCACACAGCTGTTGTCAATTCTTCCCAGGAGGCAGTCAGATGTTTCCTGAAATAGTTTCCAGTTTGCTTTTCGGAAATTCCAACGGGTTCTCTGCTTGAAGCGTAATTTAGGGGTGGTGCTTACAGTTGTGAGTATAGGTTTGTGGTCACTTCCTATGTCGTCCAGGACTTGGGGATAGCTTGCGTCTGCTAAGTCGGATGAGCAGATGGTCAGGTCTGGTCTGCTGAGAGATAGGTGGGCCCTGTGTAACAGTGTAGGTGTAGACTCTGTGTCCTGCAGCACTAATAGGTTAGTTGTTTCACAAGTATCTTCGATGTACTTCCCTGTGCTATTGTAGTCAGGGTAACCCCAACGTGGCGAGTGTCCGTTGAAGTCACCAACAAGAAGGGTTTTATGGTACTGTGTCTTGTATAGTTCTGGTATGTTGCATGTTGTCTGAGGTGGGCTGTACACGTTGTATATCGTGTATTTGCTTCCATTGTGCCAGATAGTTATTTTTTGCACATCTGTAGGGTGAGATGTCGACAGCATTGTTACATCTCCTTGTATGTCATTTCTGATATAGGTCACTATGCCCCGGCAGTCATTGCACTTACAGGCATAACTAGTATATCCAGTGAGATGCAGATCAGAGTCTTTATGCAGGGTTTCTTGTAGGGCAGCCACGTGTACCCTGTGGTTGTTTAGCAGTTTGGCAAGTTCAAGTTTCTTATTTCTTATTCCACAGATGTTCAGCTGCAGAATATTGAGCATCTGTGTATTTTTTTGCTGTGCTGTCTGAGTTCTTTTTGCTCTCCCTCCCACTCTTCCTGGGGTGTCTGTTTTCCCTATTTATTTCAAATATTCCAGTAGCCAATTTTTCGCACATGACAGCCTGGTTTCCCACTGTCTGGCGCGGGCCTTGATAGACGAGGCGACGACCGATCTCGTATGTATTCTTAAATTTTGACATATTCATGGCATTGTGGTGCTGGGGTGTCTGTGGATTACCTACCTCCCCGGGCAGCAGCTAGAAATGCCCTGTACCAGTTCTAAAGGAAATATGGGTTGTGTTTCTGCCTTTCCCTTTAACACGTAGCTAAGGTGGGGCTCACAGTGTGCTCATTCCCCGCCACCAGATTGCCTGCAGGTTTCGCTGAGCTCTTCATGTCTCTAAGCATGGCCTAAGCATGAGTAGTTGGGGCAACTGGATCGTCACGTCCTGAGTCCCTGTGCCTTCACGATAGTTTCCGGTATTCAGGGGGGCTAGCATACTTGTTTCCATTCCTAAGACTGTTCAGCACACCTCTGGCTCCTTCCCTCCCACAGGGGGCAGTACGGTGTGGTGCACCGGGTTTATTATCGAGGTTTGCTCCTCTAGATCCATTGTGTTTTGCCTGGGGATTCGCACCCCCAGTTACCGGGACTACCTCGGGGAGGCTGTGACTCTTCGCCACGCACAATGGTCTTGAGGTAAGAGAGGTTTTGCTAGGTCAAGAGGCTGACACCACAATGGACGCTCCTTTCGTGAACAGATATTCACTAGACCTAGGGTGAAGTAAGGGGGGGAACCCACTACCCACAACACCAACACTTCTCACCCCCTGCCTCTCGAGGCTCAGTCCCTTATATTGCATAGTGATCAATCACTCTCTACACATTCAGACATCATCTTATTCTTGATCTATTATTGCATACTGATCAATTTACTTTCTATACATTCAGACATCATCTTATTCTTGATCTATTATTGCATACTGATCAATTACTCTCTTTACATTCAGACATCATCTTATTCTTGATTTATTATTGCCTACTGATCAATTGCTCTCTACACATACATTTAGACATCTTCTTATTCTTAATTTATTATTGCATACTGATCAATCACTCTCTACACATTTAGACTATTCTTATTCTTAATTTATTATTGCCTACTGATCAATCACTCTCTATACATTTAGACATTTTATTCTTGATTGATTGTTGGATACTAATCAATCACTCTCTATATGTTTAGATATCTTATTTATTCTTGAACAGACATTCTGGACCCACCTGATGCCAAGCCACACATCAATACAGATTAATTATGTCTCACATTCTGTATCACACAAATGACCACACTGTGCACTATATCTAGGCTTTTTTCCCTAGAAAAAGGGTTGGTACGCATTACAAAGTGTCTATTACAGCAGCAATGAGAAAATGATGCCTTAAACAAAGGTGCAGGTAATGCGTACCATTGAGTACAACCTGAAAAGAAGAAAAAAAAAGCAGTCCTGACTACATCTTAACTGGTCAGCCAGATACTAGAGAATATTCACATGCTCCCAGAGACGTATATACGAACCTGGAATCCGGTGACGGCTGTTGCTCCACACTGTGTCCACAAGAGGAATGAGAAAATCACCAGTAAACTAGCCAAGGCGGCCAGTGACGATATGGCCAGTGGCTTGACGGCAGTCAGATCTTGCCAACCAAAGTTCAACTGATAGGATATGACCACACAACAAATCCAATGAAAAGCTAACAAAGTGTTCACAGAAATGACACCTGGCACAAATGGGGCCATGAACTTTGCACACCTGTTCTTACAGGACTGGGTGACTTCTCCAGGGGTGGCTGTGGCACTGCTGGTCCTTTTCTGATTGTCAGACTCTCGGAGAGCATTGTTCTTGTTGGAGGAAATGCCACATGTTTTCTGGAAAAGTGTCTGCTGATCGTCACTGTCGTTATCATTACAATTGTTACTTATATTTGTACTGTTGCCTTGCTTCCACAAAGGCATCTGTTTGGAGACAGCAGCAGCTGTACTAGCAGGACTGCCATCTGTAGACACAAGGTCCTCTCTACTACTACCAGCTGAATGAGGTGCCTGACTTTTTTCGGATACAGAGTTTCGATCTTTCACAGCTGTCCCTTTATCTGGTTTAGAGTTAGAGTCGATCAAAATATTCTTTTTTGCATTAGCTTCGGGCAAATATTTCTCTCCTCTGCTTGCTGCAGCCTCTTCGGAAGAATCAAATGTGGTTGCTAGGATGTCACCTTTGACATCAGGGTCACTGGTGAAGTCGATCAAAACTTCATCAACTTTTGAACCAGGGTCCTCCGGTTCGGCTGCTTCTACCTCTGGACTTTCCGCACTCTCACAGGTCTCGTACTCGCTGACAACCACCTCATGGTCATAGAAACTTTCAAGCAGCTTTGACTGGGCTTCATCTGCTGTTGGCTTCTCTACTGTCTGAATCAGCTTCATTTTGTTGCACTCTGTAATCTTCAGCTTGATCAAAGCTGACCCTACAACCATGTAGTTAAGCAGCATTAATAGCACAGTCACTTTCACTATATACGACAGGTCAAACAGAAGAGCAGAAACTGATGTAATCGCACCCACAAACAGCACGCTGTTGAGCGGTATACCTGTTCTTTTGTTCACCTTCAAGAACCACTGGAAAAAGAGCCCATCTTTGGCCATCCTGTAGAGAATTCTGGAGAGCCCATATAAGCCCAGCATTTGCAAGTTGGTAATCCCAAACAGAGGGCCGATGGTGACGATGAACTTGCCCCAAGTGACACCATTATAATCAAAAGCAGATGGCAACGGTGCCCTCAGGTCTATCAGGTAATAAGGGATGAGATACAACATGCCAATGGCAGCTCCGATGTATATGGTTCCCACTAGTAGTAGTTCCAAAATAATGGCTCTTGGCACAGACTTTGCTGGATCTTTGGCTTCCTGGGAAAGGCAAACACAGACACATATCAATGCCAACAGTGAGGGTAACAAATATAACATACACATTTTAATGACAACTGTGAGAGTAACACATATAACATACAAATATCAATGCCAACAGTGAGGGTAGCAAATATACTTATTTTAATGACAACTGTGAGGGTAACACACATAACATACACATATCAATGCCAACAGTGAGGGTATTTCACATAACATTAACATATCATTAATATCATTTATCACAAGCCGATGAACATAATATTGCTATATTAATATATATATATATATATATATATATATATATATATATATATATATATATATATATATATATATATATATATATATATATATATATATATATTAATATAGCAATATTATGTTCATCGGCTTGTGATAACATAATAAAATATATCAATATTAGAATTACTCCCACTCTTAGTTCCTGGCTCCCACTGTTGGGGACAAACCTCCTCCCCCCCCCCCTCCTCAAAGCATCTCATAAAAGGCGACTATTAAGGGAATTTTTCTTTGAATTTGAGTGCATCTGCCTGAGAGGTGCAAACAAGTAAGCCAGATCTGTAAAATGTATGTGCAAGCAAAATTCAAGTTCTGGAACAAGATTAAAGTTCAGAGATGGACAAACAACTAGAACTTTCTTCAGGAGTTAACAGCCGGCTAACGCAAAAAAAAAAAAAAAAGAAGATTTATTTATTTTTCACAATATTTCATGGCCCTAATTCAGACGGCTGACCTGGAAGCTCATTTAATTTTAAAAAGCATGAACACCATAGTTCCGACAACGATCTCCAGGGGTCTTCATAAAAATATCACTCATTAACCAAAGAACACAGACATGAAATGAATCCAGGACCTTGCAAGTGTGAGGCAAACAGCTTGAACACCCTAGTTCCGACAACGATCTCCAGGGGTCTTTATAAAAATATCACTCATTAACCAAACAACACAGACATGAAATGAACCCAGGACCTTCCGAGTGTGAGGCAAACAGCTTGAACAACACCATAGTTCCGACAACGATCTCCAGGGCTCTTCATAAAAATATCACTCATTAACCAAACAACACAGACATGAAATGAACCCAGGACCTTCAGAGTGTGAGGCAAACAGCTTGACCACTTCACCGCTGAGGCTTCAGTGTGGGGCACACACTAATGACAATGAGTGGTAGCTAACATATAATGGTTGAAGGCAGTTAGTGTTTGTTCACTTCACATGTCCCACACTAGAAGGGTATACTTTCTAATGTGCCTTCAAGAAAAAGAGAAAAGACATTTTTTTAAACATTAAATTTTTATTCAAGTGTGAGAGAGTATACAATCTGGCTCAGAGGTTACTGGAATGATGGATTATACTTATTATGGATGATGTCATCAAGACCTGTAAGGAGAAGACAAAGAAGTACTCTGTAGGGTACTGGAAGTTGAGACCAATCTGTATATCAGAGCTGGCATTTGCAGATGATGTGGCCCTGATAGCTAAATCAGAGGCACACCTTCAGTCCAACTTACTAGCCTGGAAGGAAGAGCTTGAAAAGAGAGGGATGACCATCAGTATCCAAAACTAAAACCAATACAACGTTTGGGATGTTCATATTAGGCATCTCTATCTAAAGGTAATCATGCAACCCTCTGTTTCAATCAAGAAGGCAGGTCACACACTTTTGCAGAAAGACAAGGAAGCATGTCATACAAGAAGGCCACTCACTTCTGCAGACAGAGACAGACTTGTAACACAAAAGGACAGGCCACTCACTTCTGCAGACAGAGACAGACTTGTAACACAAAAGGACAGGCCAGTCACTTCTGCAGACAGAGACAGACTTGTAACACAAAAGGACAGGCCACTCACTTCTGCAGACAGAGACAGACTTGTAACACAAAAGGACAGGCCACTCACTTCTGCAGACAGAGACAGACTTGTAACACAAAAGGACAGGCCACTCACTTCTGCAGACAGAGACAGACGTGTAATACAAAAGGACAGACATGCCATACAACAAGAGGCCACTAGCATTTGAAAACAGAGACAGACAAGACATACAACAAGAGAGGCCACTCACTTCTGCAGACCGAGACAGGCATGCCATACAACAAGAGAGGCCACTCGCCTTTGAAAACAGAGACAGACAAGACATACAAGAGAGGCCACTCACTTCTGCAGACCGAGACAGACATGACATACAGCAAGAGAGGCCACTCACTTCTGCAGATTGAGACAGACATGACATACAGCAAGAGAGGTCAATCACCCTTGCAGACAGAGAAAGACATGTCATACAATAAGACAGAGCACTTACCTCTGCAGACAGAGAGACAATCTCAAAGCCACTGGTAGCATATATCGCCATTGAAGCGCCCTTGACAACACCAGCCAAACCAAAAGGCATGAAGCCTCCATGCGCAGCATTCGTGAAGTTGTGTACATCTCCGTAGATGAAGCCAGCGATGAAGACAAAGATAAGCACTGACGATGTGATAATGCCCAGGATTGTGTTGATGATCGACGAGCAGAAAACATTGCAGGAGATAATACACACGACAATGATTTGAAAGACAAATGCCAGAATGTCTAAGGATTCTGCAAATGGCAGCCCAAACTGTATTTTTCCAAAAATCTCATTTGTTTTCTCCTAAAAAAAAAAAGAAATTAACAATATAAAAAGTTTTAATAAAAAAACACAATGGTACAGACATCATGATTCTGCCTGAGTGGGATCCGGGGCCCTCATTTTAAGGGGGTGTGGGAGTCTGAGAATAGACCCACTGCTTCCCTAAAAAACATGTAACAAAATATTTCAAAAATGTCAAAATGTCGGCGTTTATTTTGAAGCCGGACACCATGTCTAGCTGGATTGTGCAGAACACCCTTGTTCTACCATTGCCTTCCTTTGAGGCTGACCAGCCTACATGCGGCTGTTCTTGACAAGCCTGCTAGGGGGCACCACCTGTATTGCAAAGGGGTAATGATGACAATTAAAAAAAAAAAATGAGGCCATTCAATGTGATGGAAAATCTAACTTGGTCAACAAATGTCCACAGAATTTAGTTTTGCTGGACAAAATACAAATATTCTAGTTCCACTGTAAACAGGTGCAATGCCGTTACAATCTAAACAAAATCTACCATTCACATTAAGAGAAGGTTTTTAAAAATAAAAAAAGCTTAGTGGCCAAATTATAATATTAGGGTTAAAAGTAAGTAAAGGACCATTTTCCACACCATACAGGGCTAGACCTATATTTTATAGACCAATCAGCAATGGGTGGGTGATGTGGTCACCATCATGCCGACAGCATTTACTTCCCAGGACTGTACCTGGTACCCACTCAAGCTGGGTCGGCATGAGAGCTGGTGTTCTTTTCTTTTTTTTTTTTGCCAAGACCGGCTCCATCAGGACCCAAACCCCACGATCTTCTGATCCTTCCTTCCTTCCAATCTGCTGCTACCTCAACACTTCTGCCCCATGAAGCCACAAAAGCAACAACACCTCTGGCTGATACTATTTCCTGACTCACATGTATTTGAGATGTCTAGCTAACAGAATTCGTTGCATCTGCATAAACTTCAGCTTGACAGGGGTGAATACATTTATTAAAAATAGCGTGGGGGGGGGGGGGGGGGTTTTCTATTAGGAACATGGCTTCATTTATTGTCATTTCTACTACATATTTTTAGCTCATTAGCTATCCCATTAGCTCTAGCGGTTACTGCGACCAGGTCACAACGTCAAATAAGTAGATAAAGAACCCTTTTCCATACCTGTATGCGTGTTGGGTATACAGAGCTAGACCTATAATTTATAAACCAATCAGCAATTAGTGGCTGGTGTGGTCGCATCATGCGGACCATCTTTACTTCCCGGGACTTTACCAGGTACCCATTAAAGGCTGGGTCAACCTGGCGCCGAAGCTATTTTAAAAAAAAGTCTGGCTCAGTCAGGACCTGAACGCACAACTTTAGATCTGCACGCGACCATCTAGCCACTACACTATAGTGGCTTTCAGGTCAGGTAAGTGTCATGCTATAATAAGTTTATGGGCCCCAAGAGAAGTAGGGCAGGTTGATTCCTTTTTATTTGTTGATTACTCTCCTTATTAGACATCAGTGCACTCACCTGGATAGCGTGTGGATAGTTCAACTAGACATCAGCGCACTCACCTGGATAGTGTGTACACAGCTCAACTGACATCAGTGCACTCACCTGGATAGTGTGTGGACAGTTCAACTGACATCAGTGCACTCAACTGGATAGTGTGTGTGCACAGTTCAATCAGACATCAGTGCACTCACCTGGATAGTGTGTGTGCACAGTTCAACCAGACATCAGTGCACTCACCTGGATAGTGTGTGTGCACAGTTCAACCAGACATCAGTGCACTCACCTGGATAGTGTGTGGACAGTTCAACTGACATCAGTGCACTCACCTGGATAGTGTGTGTGCACAGTTCAACCAGACATCAGTGCACTCACCTGGATAGTGTGTGGACAGTTCAACTAGATATCAGTGCAATCACCTGGATAGTGTGTGTGTACAGTTCAACCAGACATCAGTGCACTCACCTGGATAGTGTGTGTGCACAGTTTAACCAGACATCAGTGCACTCACCTGGATAGTGTGTGTGCACAGTTTAACCAGACATCAGTGCACTCACCTAGATAGTGTGTGTGCACAGTTCAACTGACATCAGTGCACTCACCTGGATAGTGTGTGTGCACAGTTCAACCAGACATCAGTGCACTCACCTGGATAGTGGGTGCACAGTTCAACCAGACATCAGTGCACTCACCTGGATAGTGTGGTTGAAGAATGAGTCCACCATGCCACTCCAGGCACGTGCACCGACAGAACTGGATAGTGCAAATGCTGAAAGTGAAAACATTTGCACACAGTCACTAACAGATTTGGGATCCACCGAGGTCTAGCGGATAGATGCCTGCCTGCGGATCTGAAGGTCATGGGTTAAAATCTTAATGGCCACAAGACCTTTTTCAAAAAATTACCTTGGCTTCCAGGCTGACCTTGCCTTAAATGGGTATAAGGTGAAGTCCTGGGAAGTAAAGGTGACCATTGTGATGCTGACGACATCATCCACCAAGTGCTGACTGGTCTATAAAATATAGGTCTATCCCTATCTGTCCAATATGCCTGACAGCGTGGAAAAGGGTCATTTACTTTACTCGCTGATGGATTCCCAACTCTCATTCTGGGTGGAAACATTTGCACTAAGTCAATGCCATCTGTTCAGTTCTCCTGTGGGATATAATTCATATTTACAAGTTTCACTGGTCTCCCAGTGCTGTGTGGTCTTGAGGCATGGTGTCCGCCTCGAGTGCTTAAGGTTCCGGATTCAATCCCTGTAAGAGCTGGGATTTTTTCACGTGGTCTTGGACTTCTAGTAATTCCCATTGGGTAGTGAAATCAGATGCCCGTGTACATTGTTGCGAACGTAAAAAATCCCTTGGCAGTTGGAAATCGAAAAAAGTAGCCCGTGAATCATTTGGAGTTAAAAATATACCAAAAGTAATTTCAGGATTCTCGCCGGTGCTACAGAGCCTGTGCACTGTGCTGAGCTTCTTTGGACTCTGACTTGAGTAAGAAGAAGAATGGAGCACTTATAGGTTATTACCCGTAAGCCATGATGTTGATCCCTTGTTCAAACCTCAAACTTTGAACTTTACTGGTCTATGATCACTGCCTGTTAACTGACCTAGTACTATGTGAACAGAAGAATGTCTCCTGTGCAGACGTCTTAAGTCAGGAGTGGACGTATTACACTATCTTCTAGAGGAGAAGCTGAATCAGTTTTCTGGTTTGTTGATTACATGGAGATTACAGTCTATTTCACAGTTCTTCACTTCATTTCCTCAGTATTTTGGTACCCTCCCCCCCTCCCCACCCCCCACCTTTATCACGATATTAACACCTTCAATTTCTGATTCATTATTAGAGTTCACAGGTACTTTGCTGTTTGGTATAGAGTTTTGAATAAGTATTAGAACTCCTCCCTTGTGCCCTTCTCTGTCGTAGCTTATAGCTTGAGATCCTTTGACTAAAAATCTGCAATGTGCATTAAGGTGTGTCTCTTTGTTGCATGCGACATTAATTTTGTCTTTATAATGGTATTTAGTTAGAGCCTGTTATTTGTGTGCGTCTTTTTGTATGTGTTTAAGATCTCTTTAGCATTCCACTGTAGTATGCTGGGGATTCTGGATGTCTGGTCAAAAGTTTTCACCCTAATGCCCTATGCCTTGACTCCACAGCACAAGGGTAGGTGCCCACCAGTAGTGTTGGGTGAACCCATCAAAACAAGGGCCCCGGCACTATTTCTGCCTGGCTTCATTAGATGAGCACCGTATCGATTCATTTTCATTTGTGTCATCATAAAATGTAAGCGTGTCTCTCTTCATCCGGTTCCTCTCCTTCCACCTGTCCAGCATGGGAGATCCTAACATTAGCTAAGCTACCGTCGGCATAGCTCTTAGAGTCATTGAAACACACAAGCTCCTCTACCCTAGCAAGTTTGGAGACACATCAGAGGGGCCTTCCTCTATTCTATTCTGTGCAATCACTTTGATACTATGGCTGGTATCCAGTTCACCACCTTTCTCTTCTCTCATCAACGTATGCCTTAGGGTTTCACCTGGAAGTCCTCATTGTCTTCATCCTTCTATTTCCCATTTCAGTGCCTTTTGATGATTCTCTGTTAGTCTCTTCTCAGAATGTGTCCAGTATAGTAACATCTTCACTAACAACTGAGTTGAGTTGAGTCAAGAACTGACACCACAGCAATCGGGGTATTCCCATGCATGCTCCGTCCTCATCTTCAACAGCCAGCGCAGATCCAATACTGATGGTACCGGTCACAATCTGGTTATATTCCGTCTTGCCTTTCCTCTGAGTGTAGTGAGCCGGACAGACTCTCTGGTTACACACAGATGCCTCATTCTCGCCAGGCTATAATAATCTTCTTTCGCTACTGATTCCATTGCTTGTTCCCAAAGGGCCCTGACCACATCTGCCTTGTCATGTATCAATTCACTACCCAGTGGTGCAGATCCAGCCAATCTTTCTGCCTGTTCATTACCCACCTCACCAGCATGGCCCTGAGAAAAGATCCAAACTATGCTCACTACCTTTGACCTTGCCAGTGTAGCTTGCCACTCTGCTCGCAGCATCCCTGTCTTCACCTTTCTCAGCATGATTTCATAGTCTGTTACAATTACGACATGTGTATGCATCTTGTTCTCTAGCCACCAGAGAGCTGCAGTTACCGCTTCCACCTCCATTCTCATGCTAGATGTTGTGGTGTCGTATGCTAGGCTGTCTTGGACTAAAGATTTTCCATTGGCTTTCGCTACAAACCCCCAGACACTTTTCTTTCCTCTCACCACCAACAATCTGTATAGATAATCAGATCACCTGGGAGTCAATTGTTGTGAATCAACAAACAACTGTGCCAATAAAACCCACTACCTCACAGTTATAGTTATGCAAACCAAATTTAGTAAAAATGCTACACTGTGGCAGTATCAGCTGACCATTGCCAACAAATAATACCTCCTCATCACTCATTGTTATGCTGTGCTGTTTACACATCACACAGGGTTTGCAGTCTAACCCCATCTCTCATTCTTTGCTATCCTTTTCTGCAAGCTTCTGCAGCAAGACTGTTTTCATTGGTGTATCTGGCCACATACCAAATCCTCTTCCTTTAACCTCTGGGCTTGGGTCAGCAATGGCAGAAATACATGTTAAATTTTTAGAATTGTATAGCTGCTTATTATAACTATACTAGAGAGAAGAGCAAGCTAGATGAACAGATTTGGCTTATCTGTGTGCAGACTGTTGGTTGCTGGCATCTCAGGCAGATGAATGCTGACTTCGAAGGAAACATCCCTAACTAGTAACTTTGTATGATATGCTTGTTAAGGAAGCGGTGGGTCTATTCTTGTTTTCCTCTAAAACGAGTCCCCGTAACCTACACAGGGGAAACACCTTTAAACTAAAATAGTCTTTGCAGAGACAGCTGAAGGCATGTGGAGACAAGGAAGACAAATACAATGGCTGGAGTGACAGCATGAAAGAATGGATGAGTCTCCATCTGTGTACCTACATGTATCATTGTGAACAGAACAAAGTAACTTTAGTTTAAAGTTTCAAAGGGTCACAAATTGGGTAAGCTGTCTCATCATTCATCTGACCCTAAAACAATATTGTTAATGCTGTCATCATGACGCTGCTATGAACCACAAATGGTGGAAAGGGGGAGGGGCGGTGGGGGGTATTTGTGGATCTTTGATGAAAGTTCTTTCCAGCAGCAGTGCTGTGCTCAACATGGAAAAATAAAGAGATATAACAATAAACACACATCATCCACTTAATTTTGACGGTTCTGTAGCACTACATGCCCGCTGTGACTCTGGTATGAACAAGGTCCTATACTTTTTATTTTCTTTAAACGGGAAAGAAAACTGCACATAGACTGAGACAACAGACTTACTGATCAACATCACCCAGCCAACCAGGAAAGCCAGGAACTCTCCCAAAACCTGTTCCAGAAGGTCAAACAAACCAATCACTAGTCTGACAATGCGACATTTAACAGCAAGGTTGCACACCAAAGAAAAATATGACTATCCTTTCTATATTTATTGGGGGAAATGGGTAGGGGGGGGGGGGGAGGGAACACATTTGTGCCCCACTGCTTCAGGCTACCTGTAAGACAACAGGTTTTTGTGTACTGATCCCTGTCCACTGAGCCAGCAAGGCTAACAGTGGTAGCCTCCAGTCAGTATAGCTGTCCATGCAGCCTTTCTACCACTAGAAGCTGGAGACAAGTAGGAGAGGCAGCAGCTGTTATGTCAAGGGCACATGGGAGAGAGACAGCAGCTGTTATGTCATTCTCCTAGAGCACATGGGAGAGAGACAGCAGCTGTTATGTCATTCTCCTAGAGCACATGGGAGAGAGACAGCAGCTGTTATGTCATTCTCCTAGAGCACATGGGAGAGTGACAGCAGCTGTTATGTCATTCTCCTAGAGCAAATGGGAGAGAGGCAGCAGCTGTTATGTCATTCTCCTAGAGCACATTGGAGAGTGACAGCAGCTGTTCTATCATTCTCCTAGAGCACATGGGAGAGTGACAGCAGCTGTTCTATCATTCTCCTAGAGCACATGGGAGAGTGACAGCAGCTGTTCTATCATTCTCCTAGAGCACATGGGAGAGTGACAGCAGCTGTTCTATCATTCTCCTAGAGCACATGGGAGAGTGACAGCAGCTGTTATGTCATTCTCCTAGAGCAAATGGGAGAGAGGCAGCAGCTGTTCTGTCATTCTCCTAGAGCACATGGGAGAGAGACAGCAGCTGTTCTGTCATTCTTCTAGAGCACATGGGAGAGAGGCAGCAGCTGTTCTGTCATTCTCCTAGAGCACATGGGAGAGAGGCAGCAGCTGTTCTGTCATTCTCCTAGAGCACATGGGAGAGAGACAGCAGCTGTTCTGTCATTCTCCTAGAGCACATGGGAGAATGACAGCAGCTGTTCTATCATTCTCCTAGAGCACATGGGAGAGTGAAGCAGCTGTTCTGTCATTTTCCTAGAGCACATGGGAGAGTGACAACAGCTGTTCTGTCATTCTCCTAGAGCACATGGGAGAGAGACAGCAGCTGTTCTGTCATTCTCCTAGAGCACATGGGAGAGAGACAGCAGCTGTTCTGTCATTCTCCTAGAGCACATGGGAGAGTGACAGCAGCTGTTCTGTCATTCTCCTAGAGCACATGGGAGAGTGACAGCAGCTGTTCTGTCATTCTCCTAGAGCACATGGGAGAGAGACAGCAGCTGTTCTATCATTTTGACTTCAGTCAAACTAAACCAAATCCCAACACCCAAGCTACTACGTTCTTAGGCCATTGTGCTGGCCACTAAAGTGCTACAGTTAAAATGTATATTTTTCCCCATGTGGAGCTCCAGGACCCACATGGGGAAAACAAGAACAGGTGCTTTATTAATATCCTACCCCATACGGGGGGAATCCACAGTTCAGGGGAGTCTAAAATTTCAGGGGGTGGTAGATGGGCTGCATGCAATCGTGGGACCTAGGCTGCATGAAGTCGTGGGATCTAGGCTGCATTCTGTCATGGAACGTTGGTGGGTTGGGGTTAGGGCCAGTTCTAGATATTTTGGGGTCGTTAAAAGCATCAGAAAGCTGGGAAGATCAGTCTTACCACCCTCTAAAATGTTGGACTGCCCTGTGACGTCATCTGGGGTAGGATATTAATTAGGTACCCAAGAACAGACCCACTGCCTTCCCCCAACAAGCATGATGTAGGAGTCGACTAATTGGGGGCATCCTCTGAAGTTGGAGTGCATCTGCGTGAGAGGTGAGGAACCAACAGTCTGCATACAAATAAACCAGATCTGTAAAATGAATGTGCATGCAACACCCAGGTTCTAGAACAAGATTAAAGTCTGCAGGTGGACAAACAACCAGAACTTTCCCCCTAAAGTTTATCATTGGTGATGTGACCAAGAAAAAGAAATGTATGTTTTTAGTTATATAGTTCTGACTTGAAGTGATATTCTCTATCCCCAGTATCTTGTCTATGCCTATCTTAGAAGCAAATCTGGCTCTTTTTGCATCAATGCAATTGAGAACCCTGCCCTGACAACTTGGAAGTATTTACATTATTTCAGTTTTACAGAGAGGAGAGGGTGTAGCTTGACCAACAACTCACATCCTGCAGCACTCAATATGGGTGACTCAGCACACAGTGACCTAGCACATTCAACTGTTAGCCTGAGCCAGCAACAACACATTTGGCACCTAGGGCTACAAATGTGGGTCAGCGCATGCGACAATACACTACAGATGTGAGAGTAGGCACATGCTACAGTACACTTCAAATGTGAGAGTCAGCGCATGCTACAACACACTTCAAATGTGAGAGTCAGCCCATGCTACAACACACTACAAATGTGAGTCAGTACATGCTACAAAACACTATAAATGTGAGAGTCAGTCATGCTTCAACACTTTATAAATGTGAGAGTCAGCACATGCTAAAACACTCTACAAATGTGAGTCAGTTCATACTACAGCACTCTACAAACATGAGAGTCAGTGCATGATACTACACACTACATATGTGAGAGTCAGTTATGCTACAGCACATTACAAATGTAAGAGTTAGTAGATGCTAAAACACTATAAATTTGAGGGTGTTGTGTGCTACAACAGCTTGGAAGCAACACTGAACACAAGAGGTTAAAGCCATACAATAAGATGAAAGGAAAAGGCCGGTGAGTAGAAGCAAGACTCTGTGTATGTATGCACACAAGCGCACACGTGCGCATGCAAGCTAAGTGTAAAGCAACAAATGAACAGAAACAATGTAGTTCCAGTTACTGACCCTGTATATGTAGACGTAGCAAGCTCCAGTCTGGGGAACAAACGTGGCAAACTCAGCAAACACCAGGGCATTCATCATGGTCACAAAGATAGCCGCCATAAAGGATAACACCACTGAGGGACCTGTCAATATGGATAGAACAGATTTCTCATTATCTGGAGACCGGAGATTGTTGTTACTGTTGCAGGAAGACTGGAAGATTGATGAAGGGAAGGAGTCTGAAAGATAAGGAAGCAACAACAGTCTGTTGTTGCAAAAATGTCTGTTTTACAATGTGCCTGTATTTTTTTTTACAGGTGTCTGCATAAAATTAATAACAATATTTAAATACACTTTTCCATGTATATTCTTTCTATCTATCTATTGTCTTCTTCACTTTTACCGGGTTGTAGCCCAGTGTCGTGGTTTAAAATATTTGTTTTGAGCCTCTCGTGTGATTTGAGTGACAGTTTTCTGGATCTTCTGGCCGTATTCAGCTACTCCATCTATCCATTTTTTCCTGGGTCTTCCTCTGGCCTTTCTTCCAGATGTTCTACTGTAAAAGGCCTTTTAGGCAATCTGATCCGGTTGCATTCTTACTAAATGGCCAAACCAATTCATTCTCTGTCTTTCAATATGTTTCATGCATGCTTCTGTTCCAACTTTGTCTCTAATGCTGTCCTTTGTGACTCTGTCTCTTCGTGTATTGTTGGTGACTCTTCGGAGACATCGCATTTCACACGTAGTTATTTTTTGCATATGTGATTTGTTCATTGTCCACGTTTGGCACTGATAACATAACGTAGGGATGAAAATGCTGTTGATCATCCGTTGTTTGGCTGGTAACCAGATCTCTGGATGACGAAGAAGTGGGGCCAGTTGGTAGTTGACTGCATTGGCTTTTTGAACTCTAGCCTGTATCTCTTTATCGAGTCTTCCATCTTCTGAAAATATGCATCCTAAGTACTTGAATTCTTGAACTTGTTCTAATTGTATGTCATTGATCTTTATGTTTACTTTACTGTGTTTCTTTCCTATGGTCAGTTTTTGAGGTGTTTTTTTTTCATGTCAAATTTTGTACAGTTAGTGAGCAAGGAGTATATTCTTTGTTAGTCATTAACTATGCCTTATGTTGTGATTTTAACAGACTCAAAGACAGAAAACTGAAACCTGTGTCCCATATGCAGAGTGGCTCACATCACTTGACAAGACCAGATCAAGAGGAAAACTGTGTCCCATATGCAGAGTGGCTCAACATCACTTGACAAGACCAGATCATTGAGTTAATTAAAGAAAATAATTGTTTGGGGGTCGCCACAACATGGGGGAACTGTATTGAAGGGTCGCAGCATTAGGAATGTTGAGAGCCACTGCTCTATGAGATCAAATAGACAGTGCAAAAGAACAGATATGCCAGCAGATATGCTACTGTCAGTGCAGCTCTTGGGATCATTGTGATATGCTTCAGTTATAAAGTTTTTTTTTTAAAGTGAAGTTAAAATCAACAAAATCGACTTCACTGCACCGGTCATTATCCCACATGGCCTGGTCTCTCTTCACAGAATGGCTAGCCACCAGATGAAAGTGTTGCACAAACTGCGACATCTGTAGCTCCAGTGACAATCCCTAGGGATCACTGTAGATATATCTGCTTTAATAAATAAGCTACAGGCACAGAAGACAGAAGATTCAGACAATAATAAACGAAACCCTGTTAAAGCAAGCAAAGGACTTTATATATCTAGGCAGTATTGTGTTTACAAAGAGGAAGAATGAATAAAGAAAATACAACAAAGATACAATAAAGCAAATCAAGTTATAAGACAAATTGCACCAAGATTGAATATAGTGAATAAGAACATTAATAAGATCATTGTTCAAATCAGTTTTCTTACCAACGCTATCAGTGTAAAATATGGACATTGTCTTTAGGAGATAGAAGAAAAACAGTTATGCCAGAAATTAAATGTTTACATATCATGTTAGGTATAACCAGGAAAGATTGATTTAGTAACGGTGATATAAGGAGGAAAGTTAGCAGAGAACCAATAGTAAACTTTATCAGATCAAATGATTTGACCATGTAACAAGATTGGCAACAGACTGGACACCAGAGACAGTAATATAGTTATACAGATGCCGCAGTTACAGAGCCAGAGGTCGACCACAGAAATGTAGCAGACACTGAAAAGCATCACATTTAAAGTGAACTGACGGGCTCATTCCTGAGATTTCATCCTGCCCAGACGCTATGAGGCATTCCAGGAGTAGATAAAAAAAGATTTAAAAAACGCACATTAATGGTGACGCAACAACAGAGAGAATCATACCAGCATTCTCCTTGGCCATCACTCCCAGCATCACGTAGATGCCAACACCAATTGTGTTACCTATACCCAGAAGGGTAAGCTGTGGAGTGGTCAGGCACCTCCTGAGTTCAGTTTTCATGCAGTGCTCTCCAAAATCTTTGTGACGAAGCATCCGCTGCTTTAGATGTCCAAGACGAGCTTGTAATTTGGAGAATGACTTCATGGTGGTCTGTTAGCAAAGATGCTGATAAGTCCAGCATATGTGACATATGAGAGCGATGCTACATTAATTATTCTTCTCCTTAGCATTCACCAAGTAAGTGTAAACTCCAGCAAAAACTGCTGGTTAATCATCCACTTCTGGACATTCGTCTTGTTCAAGAACTTCATTTTTGCGTGCACATCCATTTTACAGGTAGGCTTATTTGTTTGCAACATGCTGCCTCCTTGCCTCTAAGGCAGCTGCACTTTCACTTCGAAGGTAACTCCCCTAATTAATCAACTTTTATCACGTTTGTTGGGGGTGTGGCAGATAGCCTATTCTCTTTCCTCCAAAACTGGGGCAAACAAAGCCTAAAAGGATTATAGTTTTCAAGACATTTATTTGTCACTATACCATATTTGACACGATCAATCCAAACTGATTGGGAAGCTTTCCAAGAATTCATGTATATTTAAAACATTATCATCATTTAGGGTGTCCTCTGCTGAATATCATTTAGTCATCCTATGGTAGATACTATAGGGGTATGTTTCCTGAATTGTTTAGCATACAAGGGAAAATCAATAAGTAAGTGATTAATGGTTGTTTTAAAACAAAAAAACAAAAACAAAAAACTAAGATAACAACTTAAAAACCATTTATGTTTACACATACACTGTCCCTTTTTTTTTTAAACCTAATTTCCACCAACCCTGGAGCCATGTGTTACTAGAACAACGGTAGAGGTTCAGGTATTAGTTAAAGGTGATTTCCCAGATGTGGGACTGACTCAGCCTTGTACAACTCAGAAAGAGGGTAAAGGGTCAGTGATCTAGTATATGTGCAGTCCTATCATGTAACATGACAGATGGCAGCATGAATATGTTTGAGTCTATTACATCTATGACAGATCTCCTCTCCTCTTCTGTGTTCATCAGCTGTAAACTCTGGTGGAAAAGTTCTGGCTGTTTGTCCACTTCTGGACTTAAATACTGTTCCTGAACTTTGAGTGTCATGTGCACTTCCATTTTACAGATCTGGCTTTTTTTTTCGCAGACTGTTGGGTTTTTCCCTCTTAGTCATATGTAATCTTACTTTGAAGAAAGCTCCCAGTTAGCTGATCCTTAAGACATGTTTGTGGAGAGGCAGTGGGTCTATTCTTGTTTTCCCCCATAATGGGGCCCCAGAACCCACACAGGAAAGCTACATACAATTCTTTGTGTTACACCAAACATATGTATACTGCTACCCAACACAGTGTGTGTGTGTCTTCACTCTTGTCCTAGCAGTTGTTCATATTTATTATCTTTACCCCAAGAGTGAATAAGTTCAACTGCTCTCTCAACAAGATATTTAACTTTCTCACATGTAAACATTTATTATCCAAATACTATTGACATAGAACAGAGAATGCTGTTCACACTATATCAGCACCTGATCCTGTCAGTGGTTGATTATGGCCTGGGACTGCTTACCGTCTCAAACAGTCAGATGGACAAACTAGAGCGCATACAGAACGCAGCTATGCATGTCATTCTGGGTTGCACCACAGACACCCCAGTGGTGTGTGTATGCGATACATCCTTGGTTTACCGACGGTTGCAGGTAGGCACAAGGTGCTGCAGGCGAAGTCATTTCTCAGGGAAGCAGCAGACACAGACCATCCTCTGCATGAACCTCTTGGTGCAGTTAAGGGTCAGCGGCTGATAAGAGGGAGGTCATGGATGGCTCAGGCAGAAAACACAATCAGACAGGTTTGCATCCTTGAGAACATTAAGCGAGGAGAAGAGTGGGTAAAAGTGCCACCTGAACAGTCAGATTTGTGTACAGTCATAATCACGCTGAGCCGGGAATGCAGAGACTGACCAGCAGGTGCCACAGAGGTGGAAATTCAGCAATTAATTCAAGATAATGCTCGCTCAGAGGATTTGATCATTTACACAAACGGTTTAGTGTCAAGAGGCAAAAGAAGTGCTTGGGGCTTTTTAGTAAAAGTTAATGGTCGACGTTTGGTGCTAGAGAGCCTAGCATATGATACCACAACATCCAGGCTTAAGAATAGAGGTGGAGGCGGTCACTGCAGCTTTCCGCTAGCTAGAGAACACAACACACACATCATGATTGTAACTTTTTTAGAAAGCATGCTGAGGAAGATCAGAACAGGTATGCTTTATGCAGAGTGGCATGCTTCGCTGACGAGGACACGGTTGAGGAGTATTGTCTGGGTTTTTTCACTTAGGGTGCGCCAGTGTGTTGGGGAATGAACAGGCGGACAGACTGGCTGGCTTTGCACAACTTGGTGAAATACTGATACATGATAAGGCAGACGTGGTTAGTGCCTTGTGGGAGAGCGTGTACAGTTCGGAGGAGCAGATGGATCACCACAGTCTGCTGAGATTGATGCAGCGGGGAGTGACGAGAGGTTCTGGAAGATGCTCAAAGCTCAGAATAAAGGCAAGATGGACGTTTAATCAGAATGCTACTGGCACCATTAGTTTTGGAGCTCTTCGCTGGCTGCTGAAGATGAGGATGGAGCACTTATAGGAATGCCCCAAATGCTGTGATGTCGGTTCTTGAATCAAATCAAATACAAGTGGTGGTGGAGATAAAGAAAAAATACTGCAGCAATAATCTCGGGTACAGAAATAGTGATTTAAAATCTAACTTGCCTCTGTGGTTCTTGTTTGGTAATCTTTTAGTACAATGATATATAGGCGAATTTGTTGCCTTATAATGAGATCAGAATGAATACCTTCCTTCTTGCTTAAAGTATTCACTGAAATATATCGCTCATTATGTCTCCCTCGTTTCTTGTCAGCATCTGTAGGGAATACCTTCTACATCATGCTTCATTGCAATTTATATTTTTGGCGAAATCTGCAATCCTCATAACCTGGCATTAGCGAAATCTATATGATGTGTTCAAGAGTTTTCCCTAAATTTCCAAATTGTATTTGAAATACTATCCCTGTCTGATCTATTCATCTGTCTTCAGCACTCAATGTGTGCAGGCTGACATTAACATAACTGTAGTACACAAGAATGGCATGCTTCTGTGTATATGAAAGACCAGGCCAAACGATTTTCGCCAGCTCCTGGTTTTACTGAAGTTTTACATGAGCTACGAAAGGACATGAAAATAGTTTATGTCCAAGATTCCACGTCCTCTGCTCGTCTGCTTATGTTTTCATTTTCAACTGCTACAACTGTAACATACTTCTTGCCACCGGTGAAGAGTCTGTTTGACACCATGTCAACATTCCTTTCTTGCGTGTTGAATTAAAAATCGACATCACAGCACTCGGGACACCCCCATAAGCGCTCGGTCCCCATCTTCAGCAGCAAGTGAAGAGTTAAAATTCCGATGGTACCACCAACTGTCTGATTGAATATCTTGCTTAGAATAAGAACTGACAACATCACAGCACAGCAATCCGGACATTCACACATATCGGCGACCGGGCGGGCACAGCATTTGTGTCTGTCTCCCTTGATCGCATCAACACTACAGGAGTCCTTTTCTAAGCTACTTTATGACGTGCAGTGTTATGCAATTTTAAATGCACAAAAAACCCAAGTCATAATTGCATCCAAACTTTCCCCATTCGGGGATGCTAGTTGAACGTAACAATTTTTATTTCCTCAAAAACGGATCGAAAATTCCTATAGGCGCTCTGTCCGCATCTTTAACCGCCAGCGTAGAGGTCCCATTCCGATGGTGCCAGTAATATTATTTCGATTATATGTCTACTTTGCTAAAGGTCGTGGGTTCGTTTCATACTTGGGTCATTCGGTTCACGAGTGCAGTTTTCGTAAAAAACAGTGGGGGATAGTATCGACGCCGAAGCCACGGTGTTCGCACTTTGGTCGACGCTCTCGGCGAAAGACCGATCAATATGGGATAAATCCCGATGTAGTGAATTCAAACTTCTCGACTTTAACCTTATATCCATTCTCAGCTAGCCATCATGACGTTTCACGATCAGCCGCTTCCTCCTCTCCCATTCATATCCTAGAGAATTTTTGTTTGTATTCGTAAATATAAAGGAGAAGAAAATATAACCGTAGCAAACGTTAACAGAGATATCCTGTTTAATCTTTTTTCAAACATGATCTTGGCTTCCAGCCTTAATAGACCACACCGCCCATTTTGGTGGCCGCGCTAGCGCAGTCGATAGGAGGCTCGCTTTCAAATCCAGCCACGGTCGGTGTTCACCCAGCCTCTAGGAAACGGGTACCAGAGTTGACACTCTGGAGTAAATAGAGGAACGTCACTGTAGCTAGAGTGTTACGTATGAACGGTGACACAGGCGGGCAGATTCTTATCAGCTGTCCGTACTGGTAGCAGAGCACTTATGGTTTATAACCTTGTGCAATGACGCTGGTTCACATCTCCCAACTTCACCTTTTTACCCATTTTGGTGTATGAAAATATAAGACTTGTCTCGCGCGCTTAATGTATAATGGTACTTTTCTTATAATACTGACATATGTGTATGCATTCGGCTCTTGAAGCATGATTACATCAAAGTCGTAAATCAACCTTTTTATCATGGGACCTCTCTGTCTGGCACTACAATTCCAAAAACATACTACAGTATTACATGAAAGCACCCCAGCCGTTCTGTTTTTCACCTAATCTTCTTCTCCCATATTTCTCTGCTTTCTTCTCTCACCATTTCCTCATCTTCACTGCTCATTGAAGATGACGTCAAGCACAGAAAACGTGCTCCGTAGCTCCTGCGACAATTCTAATAAAATGAAAAATCCAATTGCTTTTAAGTTGTTAGGGAGCAGGAAGTAACCGGTCACCCTAGTAGAGCCTGCTAGGGAACGGGCAATGGATGTCTTTATGGGGGATACGCCTGTCGCTGCCCTTCCCAAACGGCCAACTATCTCACAGCCATTCGCTCGGCTCTCTAGCGTAGTTGGCTAAACCGGATTGCACGGTGACCGGGTGACGAACTCCTTGTGGTCCGGGTTCACTCCCGGGGGTAGGCAGAAAAGCCACATTTCTCCCA